AGAAAGAGAGCGAGAGAACGAAGAAAGAGAGAGAGAGAGAGAGAGAGAGAGAGAGAGAGAGAGAGAGAGAGAGAGAGAGAGTGAGAGAGCGAGAGAGAGAGCGCGCGTGTGTGCGTGCGTGTGTGTGTGCGTGCGTGCGTGCGTGCGTGCGTACGTGCGTCATTACGTTTGGCGGGAGACGAGGACAGGTTTGTAGTGTTGCCCGCGCGCCCCGGGTCCGCTCTCTCTCTCTCTCTCTCTCTCTCTCTCTCTCTCTCTCTCTCTCTCTCTCTCTCTCTCCCCTTCTTTCTTTCTCGCGCGCTCTCTCTCTCCCTTTCTATATCTCTTTCCTTCCTTCCTTCCTTCTCTCTTTCTTTCTCTCTCTCCCTCTCTTTCCGCATCTCCCCCCTGCCACATTTCTCTCCCTACCTCTTTCGCACGCTCTCCCCCTTCTCTTTCTGTGTCTCGCCCCCTCACTCGGCTCCCGCTACTCGCTTTTCTACTTTCCCTTCTATCTTCCCCCTTTCACTCTCCCTCCTCTTCTCTCTATTTCTCTTGCTGTGTATCTCTCTCTCTCTCTCTCTCATCCATCTTTCTCGAAAGGACGAACTAACGTTACGATTTGACCTCATTTCATGCAAGAAGAGAGATTTCGTCTCGCATTAAGGAGCATTTTCCAGCGAGTTTTCCACATTATAAAATAATTCGCATCTAATTAATTACAATCTAACGCAGAAAAAAAGAGAAAAACCACACACACAGCGCCGTGAGTCACTCACTTCCTCGTTTATGAAAGGCTATGTATGCGGCATAAATATTTCATGACATCATCGATTAATCAGAATAGTTTCTGCTGTGCGTTGCCACCTATCCATCATGACTGCGTCTACTGTACTCTTCTCTCTGCCTGCCTGCCTGCCTGCCTGCCTGCCTGCCTGCCTGCCTGCCTGCCTGCCTGCCTGCCTGCCTGCCTCACGAGTCACGATGCCACCCACAGGCACATCAAGCCGAATTTCTGCCGCCCACTCACGTTGATATACAAGTACATCTATTTGAAATCCCACACGCACAGAAGTCTTCTTCATTATTCATAATTATACGAAAACTTCGACAGCCGCTCGACAGAGCAACACGACTTCTACAGCAGGGGGCAGCACTGCTACGCCATCACGTTGGGCGCAGACAGCACAGGAGGAGAAACAGCAGGACGAAGAGGAGACAGGGGGAAGAGGAGAAAGAGGAGGAGGAGGAGGAGGAGGAGGAGGAGGAGGAGGAGGAGACGTAGAAGAATGAGGACGAAGAAGATGAGGAGGGCGAGGAGAAGAAGACGAAGAATGAGGAGGAAGAAGAGGAGGCGGGATAGGAGCGGACGAAGAAGAAGATAAATGAGGCGGACGAAGAGGAAAAGGAGGAGGAGGAAGAGGAGGAGGAAGAAGAAGAAGACGAAGAGAAGGCGGATGTGGCGACAGTGGTTAGGGTAGGTGGTGGTGGCAGCAGCAGTCGGAGTGGGGGTAGTGACAATAGGAAGAGAGGAGGAGGAGGAGGAGGAGGAGGAGGAGGAGGAGGAGGCAGCAGCGTTCACTGTCCGTAATTACGACTACTAACTACTGCCGCAGTTTACACGTAACCGGAAACAAACATCGTCATTACGAAAGAATCGTTTATATGTCTTAATTCGCCCTTCAGAGAGAGGGAGAGAATAAGAGAGAGAGAGCAGAGAAAGAGAGAGAGAGAGAGAGAGAGAGAGAGAGAGAGAGAGAGAGAGAGAGAGAGAGAGA